AAAAAAAAAAAAAATTAAAAAATCAGCTGTCTAATCAGACACTACTTCCTAACACACAAAACCTGAGAATCTGAACGTTAAGTTTATAGAATAACATAAATAGGTAAGAAGAGCCTTCTGCTTACTGAATTTACCACTATGGCTGCATGTATTGACAGACCAACATGTTTTAATGCTACAAATAAAAGAAAATTAACATTCCTTTGCAAATAAGAAAGTGCAAGTGTAGGAGAAGATTAAAATTGATTTTAGTTAATAAGATTTTCTTCTTTTCAGCTTCAATAATTTTGAATTTCAACCACTGGAGTAAAATTGATTCACACAAAGGTACGCTTTGAATCCTTGGTTCAGAGGCAACCCACACGACAGTGAATAAAAGCCACTGCCTTGCTGAAAATGGAGCTTGAGGGGGCAGGTCAGGGAGTGGTCGGGGTGTGTGTGTGAGGAGCTTGTGAGCGGGACGTCGTGACAGGGGGCGGTGGATAGCGGGGAGAGCGAGGTGGCGCTGATGTGGGGCTATGTCTTTTGACCCGCTGACACTTAAAAGATGGCCTATCTTAAATACGGCGGTCGAAGGAAGGTTATGTTAAACCCGGACCTTTTCTCTCGTATTCCCTCTTAAGTGAGTTTTCTTCTTGTGTAACTGGAGGATTTAGCTCGTTGTTGAACACAGTCTTATTGAGTAGTATGGTTTTGAACTGTTGTCTGCACAGTAAACTCAGAGAAATGGTGCTTCTCTCTCAGTGCCTGTGAGAGAAATGTCCTTAAGTTAAAATATATCTTCAGTCTGTGCTTTGTGGGTTTTCTTTCTGTGCTGATTACAGAGAAGGGGTAAAATCTGGAGCAGAAGGCGGTCTTCAGAGTCATCCACCTTGGAATACCTTTTCTGCAGGTATCAAGTTAAGTGCTAGGTTTCATCAGCATCAGACTGGTTTTGGATAATGTTTATTATCATTATTGGATTCACTGTATTCAAAATACCACCACTAGCATTGTGCCATGGTGCAACACACCGCAGGGTTTGGGCTGTTGAAATGTGCACCGTGCCATTTCACTGCGCAGTAAAGAGCTTTCTTTGTTAAGACTGTGTGGTGGGAGACATCTCTGCCTCCCCTGGCCTTTGTCGCCCCAGCTTTCCACTTGCTCTGTGGGGCCAAAGTGAGGACTAGTGCTGCTACATTTGTATTAGGGGGAAACTAACATTTTTTTTTAAGGTGTCCTTACATATTGCCTTAAAGAGATGCTTTTTAAGCATCACCACACGATGATATTACCCAGTTACCTCAAAACTGTACTTAATTTGATCTGCATTATTCTTCTCAAGCCGAATACAAATAACAAAAGTGTGTGTCCATAACATCCTAAATAGAAAACAAGTCTGCAAACCTCTACAAAGCATGCATGAGAAAATGAAGAAAGAGCTATGGCTTAAGTCTGTCTGAGTAACCTTCCTTACCTGCAGACTTTATGGCTACTCCTGACAAGATGATGGGGAACTATTGCCTTGTATACCTTGCACTTCAGGCTGTATTTTTTTTTGAGGGGGCTGGCTGGACAGAGAATGCCAGTCATGATGTACATTGTGTTTATAACCAGTCTCCTTTGAAGCTTTCTGGACAGATTTAAACCTTTCATCTGTAAATTTGTGCCCTTTCCCCCCTGACCCTATCAGGAAATGATTTAGTCATTTGTGAAGAAAAATAAGTGAAGTAGTGTCAGCTTGTACAGTAGGTACCAAGCATTCCTCAGTGAGTTAGTCTGTCCCTCCCCTAATTAGCAAATTAGCAAAAATACAGCCTTCTACTGGACCTTATTCTCTATCAGTGTGTATATTAATAAGCACATAAGTTGATAAATATACCTGTGCTTTTGTGATTTAGTATTTTGTGTTAATTGGTAATTGTGTGTGCCTTTTTATGAACTCTGTGTTAATCAGGTGGGTGTGCAAGTGATAGGCGTTCTTACTTTAAAAAATCAGAAATCAGAGACCAATATCTTTACATGTGTTTTTTTAAGATGGCCACTGATTGTAGGTGAAGCTCCTATTCCTAGGGATATGTAGTTGCAGCACTTCCTTCTGGAAGAATTCAACTCTGCTTTTTTTTTTTTTTTTTTTTTTTTTTTTCTATGTATAGTTTCACAAGACAGCCTGAGCCAAAAGAACAGCTTGCTGCTCTTTACTCCCACTAGTTATTTTGAGTTGATTCTGGTGTTTGTTTAATCACGAGAGGCCAAATTCAGCTCAGTAAAATAGCAACAAAGAAAAAAACACCTGGCAAGATGTTAACATTTTTTTTTTGGCTGGTTGAGGGTGTTGAATTGGTTTATGTTAAAGCAGATGAGCAGCAGAGCTGGTATAAGGAAGGGATGGCTTCTGCTGGGGTGCTTATATTATGGAAGGAGGGAACTGGGAGCAAGACCTCCTTGCCTGCTTGGCAGTGGAAGCTAGTAATTTGCTTATCCATAATATGAAATTGCATGCCTACTGGATTTGCACTAGGGATTAATTTGTTGTGGTCTGTTCTAGTCTGTGTAGCAATTGCTGAAGCCTTAAAGCTGTTCTGAGTTCACTGGTGTGACAGAAGAAACTAGGCTGGTTATAGTGTGAGTGCTTGCCGTTTGGCACCTGCATTGTTTTTCTCTGTAGAAGGAGTCCTTCTGCCTCCAGATGCTGAAAAAAAAAAGAAGGCTTGAGCTCTTGTCTATTTTTTCCCTCTCCTTTCTGAGCTAGGATTCTGCAGCATGTGGCAGTGCCTTGGGGAAGCCTCTGTTCCTGCCATCTGTAGTCTCTGATAGGAATTAATCTCATGAGGCTATCATCCTTTCCTTCAGACTCTGTAGGGTTAAAAAGATCACTGCTCGTCAAAATTACAGCCAGACACACAGTAAGATTATTTCTGTGGGTTTAAGAGCAAGCATTTTTTTTGTAATCAAGACCTGCTGAAACATCTTTGAATCGCATAATTGATATGTGAGCAGAGGCAGCAGAAAGGATGTCTGACGGCTACTTTGCTGACTCTGCAACTCATAGGCTATCTTCCCTTCTTCAGGAAGGAGAGGGAACCTTGTGGACGTTTTCTTGATTGCTCTTTTCCTGGCACAGTGGGATCTTGTTGCTAAGAAGCACCGACATCAGTCATTTCTCTGTCTTGCAAAACTTCCAACACCGTCTTCTAGTCAGTGACTAATAAATGCACGTCCTACAAGATATCTTCATGATGTTACTAAAAACCTAGCATAAGTGTAATTTTAACTATGTTAGCTAAAGGATGTTTCATTTTGTCTCTACAGGTTGCAGTGTTGTTATTGCCTCTCGTAAATTTGACCGATTAAAAGCTGCTGCAGAAGAACTGAATAAAACATTTTCTTCCATGAGTCCTGCTGAAGTGACTCCCATACAGTGCAATATTCGCAAAGAAAATGAGGTAAAGACTAGTGAACTTATTCTAGGGCTTAACATGTCAAAAGCATATTGTGTATATAAATTCTCAGATCTCCAAAGGTCTCCTCAGGCTCTCTCAAAAGTGGCATAGATCAGGGAAAAGGTGCAGTAAAGCACTGTTAAATTGATATAAAGTTGTGTTTTCCAAGGGAAGACCATTTGTTAGCCACCTAAGCAAGAAAGCATTTGTAATAGCACAATATTTTTCTCACAATGCATAGGTATTTCAGATATTTCTGGGAGAAGCAGGCCTTGGAACTGGCATGTTCTGCAGCCAAGCTGCAGCCCACTTACTGTGGTTTTGTGCCACATTTCTGTGACAGCAGTGAGGGGGTGTTAACTTGTGAAGATGGAGACCTTAGAATAGTTCCTTCAAACAGGAAGTCATAGCATGGAATCTCAACACTTGTGACTTGACAGAAGTGCCTTGCATTGTCAGTTTTCCTTGTATTAAGGGAAGAAAACCCCACAGATACTATTATTTTTAGCCATGTTTAAAATTTTGGTTACAGTTAGAGGTGTGCCTCATTACAAATTATTACTATCCCAGTTGAGTTTTTCTTTTTTCTTCATATTACAAAAAATGGAAGATAAAGAGCAAAAGTATTTAATCCAGGTTTTTCAAAAGTCTGCATTCACCTCCTAATTTTTTAATCTGGGTAATTAAACATTTAAAAGTCCAGCATGAGGTTGGACTTTTAACTCACTGAAGACAACTAGAAAATATTCCAGTAACCACTGATTGCTACATTTTTCTTAACCTTTCAAAGTCTCTGTTAAATTCTAGCATAATTTAAATAAATATTAATGGCTTTCAATAGCTATGTAAGATTCTGGAAATAGCCTAATATACAATCATCAAACAAACAAAAAAAATTATTTGCTAATGGAACAGCTCATGCCATAAAATATTTATAGTGATAGACTTTCTTTTCTGAAGAAGATAAATCCCAGGGCTGTGCAGTATGTCACTTCACCTACCAGCAAATTTTAGGTTTGCATTTATTAGCATCAGCAGTGCAATGTAATAGGTTATGACAGATGTCAGAGGGCAACTTACATGATTAAAGCTACAGGCAAGAAAAGACTTAAAGAGAGGTAAAATGCTTAAGCCTTCTTTCACGTCACCGTTCTTGCAGAAAGTGCTCTGGGATGCTTAATAACCTTCTGCAGGTGAATCTTATTTCTGCATCAGTTAAAAAATGATTTAATGGGAGCTGCAGTGTTCTGAGATGGTAGAGGGCTTGTATGGTGAAATGAGGTAATCTCTACTAAACAAAGTACCATTCCTTCTTTGTTTCTTGTTTATTATGTGGCTAAATATATATCTAAGGAAACAGTCTTAGATGGCTTTGGAAACTTTTTTGAAGGTACTTGTAAAGCCTTTTTTATAGTGCTGTGTAAAGTGTTTAGGCATTATTCTGTGTTACTGGTAGCCATGTGGGTATGTGGAGAAACTTCTGTCTTTGGTATTAGCCTGCAGTTTCATCTTAGAATTGTCTTGTTTCCAGTTTAGTTTTAAGCAATAGTCATTTACAGACACACCAGAACGTTGTAACTTTTCATATGATACTGGAGAAGCCTCTATCAGGTGTCTCCTGCCAGTGGAAGTTCTCATAAACCATTGTCATTTCAGATCCACATCTATTGAAGAGAGGGTTCAGAGGAATAAGGCAGATTAAACTTCAGTCTTGAATTTTTCAGTCATTGACTCAGTCTTACAGTTTCACTCACATCAGTTCTCCAGTTGCTCGCTCTTCTTTCTGTGGAAGTCCTATTTAGAAAAAAAATCACTACAAAAATTTTGTAAGCCTTTTGTGGAAGTTTTAAATAAGGAATGTGATTTCTGTTACATGTTAACATAAGAACTTCAGTGTACCCACTAAACAAATATTTATCCATTTCAGATGCCTATCTCCAAGACCAGATATTTTTACAGGTTGGAGACATCCTGTGATTTTTGTTCTTTAGTTCTCGTTTTCTGGCTCTATCCTTCTCTGTTAGCTCTTTAATGCTGAGATTCTCAAATATTGCTAAATCCTGGCCACTTGTTACTTAATTTCTAAAATTAGTATTGGACCAGAAATGTGCGGATCACGTTTTCAGTTTTTAAATTTGTAGTGAGGATAGTACTTCCTTAGGTGCTTCGTGTTTGTGAGTTCAAGATAGATAAATTAACAGTTGGTAACTCACAGTGTGAGAGCTTAGAACTCAGGGATGTGGCAGATTTTCCACAGCCCACTGCTCACTATTGCTTATTTATTATATTTGCTAAGAGCAGCAATGGTGAATACTTTTTTCCTAATTTGCACTTGATTGCCTTATGGAGACTACAGGAAAAGTACCTTTGGGCTTTTACTTCTACGATATTCAAAGAATGTTGTACATCCACTTTCAAAACCTATTCCATTCTTAATCTGAAATTTAGTGCCTGGAACTTGGAGTCTTATGAACTGTGATTAATAAAAGATGTAGTGAAGGATTTTTCTAGACTAAGATAAATCTTGAGTAGAAGCACCACAGCAATATAATTCACTTCAGCATTTTCACAAATATAGGAGTAGCTTCCTGTCTACAGTGGAATATGGGGTGAAAGTGCATTTAAACTTTTGGCTTCTCTCCCAAAAGAAACAAGACTTGTACAACTGTGTTGGCTCTGAATGGTATTCATTAATAGATTTACAACTCACTGTCTGCTTTCATCTTAGTATGAGTAAAGAGTATTTATCTCAGAAATTCATGGAAGTACATTGTTAGGTAGAGAGGACAGCCCCTGTGAGTATTCCCTGTGACTTGGTATATCATCTTTCTCAGCTCTTATACCAGGTAGCAAAGAATGTGTGAAGGAGAGAAACCTTATAAATGTTTCAACAAGGGAGAAAAATTTAGGAGTGCAAGCATCCATAGATGTCAGAACTGATCCATCACAAGCTACAAAGCCCAGGAAGCTTCCTGAACTACATAATTCATTTAGTGTATCCTTCGCTTTGACATCTCACTAAGACCTTTCTAAGAGTAAATATTTCTCTTAAAGGAAGCCACTGTGATCACCTGTAGGAACAAGCCATCTGTTCTTACTGTGCCGTGCCTTTTTTTGTTTAATTTCATCCCTTCATCTCCATCAATTGTTCTGCATTTCTCTAAAGGCCCCAGTGAATTTTGTCCTGGTTTAATTTTATAATCAGCCAAACTGGAGGGAGGGACTTTGAGTAGAGGAGATCTAAGAAAGATGAAAGTGCTTTCAAAATTGCCAGATGATTTTTTTTTTTTGCCTCCTACTGCAAGTCTTAAAGTAACTGAGCGTCTTTGAAGATGTCACATGTCTTGCATGCTCTAGTTTGCATTTGTAACATTCAAGCATTAGAAGATTCATCCCTCATTGTATAGTACATTATGTCTGTTAGAGCTCTTTTTGGCCTAGGAAGAGTCAAAAAAGCTGCAGCAAATTAATTGCTGCAGAAGCTTGATGGCAGATATCATGGGAATAGCTTAATGAATTCACATTTTTAAGTCTCTTAATCGTAATTCTCAGAGGCTCTTTTGCTTTCTAGAAAAGCTTACTTTTCGTTTAACATGTAAGAAATAATCTTGCTTGATGGAGGATTTTCAACCACTGCATAACCTGTCAAGCTTATTTCTGTCATGAGTTTACTGCTGCTGCTTTTGGCTAGTTTTCCATTGAGTATTTTGTAAGGGATAACAAACGTGGTTTGTTTTTAAAGGTGGAAGAGTAGATGTTCTGGGATGCCAATAAGAGCACCTGAGGTTTCTATGTTCTGTCTTCATGAGGCTCTATCCTGAAGCAGTGGTCGCGCACTTGTCCCTTATCCTGTCGTCTGGAGTGTATGTAGTGATCAGTATTGCTTCTTAGTAATTATGTAGCTGAAGTGATTCTAATTATTTGGATATTTTCTAGGACTGCCCACATGATGTGTTGAATGTAACAACAGCAGGTCAGTTTGCTCTTGCTGAGATGCAGGCCTGACTCTCACACACTGTATGTTTGTGTGTCTCTTTCAAAGCAAGCTTTTTCCAAAATCCAAGGATCTAATTAATTCCAATGCCCCAATGTGATGGTGGCCAGAATGGAGAAGAGAGACCCAACCCTTCTTCTATATGAAAAGAGCTTTCTGTTTATCTTTGTAGGTGTTCTGAATGGAAAGCATGTGTTTGTGTCTTAAATGTTAAGCTACAGCAAATCTATTGACAGGGGAAAGAAAGATGTGAGGAACTTCTTACCATTAGAAAGCCTTTGTGCTATATGCTCTGGATGAACAATTCTTTAACTGGCATCTAGATAAGGAGAAGATATATCTAGGTAGGAGGAAGATAAAACCTTGTAATTCTAGCAGGCCACTGCTCTTCCTGAAATCAGTAATTTGTAATTCTGTGCACAGTGTTCTCTTTCCATACTTGAGGTTCAGCAGCAAGACCGCTGCAGGACCAGACCCTGAACATCTGACAAACAAGACTCCTTGAAATGGACTCAGTACAGTACTATTTAGCACTTACATTGTGTCTGAGTTCACAAGTAACTTTTCTTTTCCAACAAACTTTATAGCTTAGCAGGGTCTCATTTGGTTTATAAATACATAATGCCTGTCTCTGATGCCTGTAGTGGAAGACCGTGGCTTGGTGGAGAGCTGTGAATAAGAGATTCCTATTGTTGTACTTTAAAATAGCATAGCAATAACACAAAGTAAAAATACCTGTTATCATTGTGCAAGAATGTCTACTAGTTCTGGTCCCCAAATAGCAAATCTCTAACACTCTGTAGTGGATAGTTTGCCTGTTGAGTTTTATTCAAATTCAAGGTGACCTGTGAATGCTTGGGCACATTTGTCCCCTTTCTCTGTGTCAATGAGTACTGTAATCTCAGTTATCTGTGAAAGTTTGCTACTGCATAATACTTTTGAGTTGCAGTCACACAAAAAAGGTCCTTATTGAAGAGCTCCAGTCTTCTCATTATGTCTGAAGTGCCTGATTTTGTTCTTTTTTGGTCTTTTTCAGAACGACAAACTATTCTCTCTACCTTGTGCAGTTTTGCTTTGCTTCCAGAAAGAGCCTTTATTAGCTTTTTTTATTAAGTTCTTTGCATGTGGATTTTTAATACTTAGGAATAGAAAGGAATCTTCTTTAGTTCTCACTGTGATTTTAAATGTGTTTTACCAGAGCCTCTTCTCAGTGTGCTGGTGGTTTACTATAATTGGGAGAAGCACTGCAGTGATGCTTTCTCTACAACACAGAAGACACTGTGAAGATTGTGATGGTTGGAGCCATCTGAGCTGTCACTGGAGATCTTGCTAGTCTTTGCTGGCTTTCAGAAAACAGAACTGATATGCATTTGGTTTGGTTTTTTATTGACCTGAGAATATGGTGCAACAAGTAGGAATAATAGCAGAGTTTCTTAAGATACAACATATGAATCATTTTTAATCGATATGTCATAATGCTGTGTCTCTTCTCAGTGGATTTTTCTTCTGTTAATTTGTCAGTTTGTTGGGTTTTTTTACAATTCTTAGCTTTTTCCCTTTCTCTCTCTCTCTTCTCCTCCCCCCC